GCCACATACCTGCAGTGGCTCAGGCCAGAAGCTGGGGGTTGCTAGAGCACAGCTCTCTGGCACATGCAGTATTGACTGTGCATTTGTTTTCTCCTCCTGATGCTCCTGAGGCCTCAGGGATTTCTAGTCCAAAAAATCACTGCAGCAGGACTCTGCAGGGTTGCTCATCACTTCCTCTTCCTGCTTCCAGGTTCCTCTAGGATTTGTAGCCCAGTCACAGCCAGCAGTAAATCTGACTGGGAGAAGGGGTGTTTAACCCCCTCCCTGGCCCCAGAACCCAGCAGGGTTTTACCTGGGGGGGCAGTCCCCCTCCCCTTGCAGACTAGGCTGCATCCCCAGCTGGGCTCCCCCCCGCACACTCCCCAGTCAGCCAGCTCTCACTGCTCCAGCTAGGAAGCAGAGGGGTAGGGCTAGCCGTGCTTTCTGGAGCAGATAGCACAGCCCAGGGCTGCAAAGCATGCTGGGGGACTATGATTTAACTTGAACCAGGAAGGGGTCTGGGACAGAAGTTTCATAAACTGGTTTGACCCAAATCAGTTAAGTCTGATACTACATTCAGCCAGATTTATCTTAAGCCAGCTTCAGCCATTTTGAAACTAGTTTATGTGCACTGAGCTTCTGCTCTGTTGCACTTAAACTGGTTTATGTGCAACTTCTGTCTCTAGCCCAGAAGATTTTTTTTCCTAAAATAACCAAAAGTTTTGTTTTAGGTCTCAGTTCTGGCCGAAATGGAATTTCTACATTTTTCAACCATCTCACATTTTGTGTTTCACTATAGAAACAAGTTAGTCATTTTCAGATGCACCCCCTCCCCTCAGCTTATACGTTTCTTTCACAGAGGAGCAGGGGAGAGGAATAGGTATTAATTTGGGCAAATAATTAAACAAAAGTATAAAAAAAAATGTCCAAGCAGGAGGTTATGGAATATGCTGAAGCGGAAGACAGCATTGGTGACAGCCCAAGTGCTAGGTACTTCATAGATAGGGCAGGGCAAACACGGCAACCACCCTGGGTACCAACTTGGAGGGGGTGGCAGGGAGGAGGACACACAAAATACCCAAAACAAAATGCTACATTTACTGCCAGCAGCCATGCAACTGCAGTAGCAAAAAGAAGTCACTACTGCCCCTATGCTCCAAGCACCCAGTTATGTCCCCATGCTGCTTGTGCTAGCCACAAGGCTACCGAATGAAAGCCATGTTGGTAACTCTAGTGACACCCACCACTAAAGATGAGTATAGCACCTGCCTGTAGCTACTTTAATCCCATTTCTTCTTTCCCCTGGTGTTTTTCCCCCACCTTCCCCTTTGGCTCAGTTCACAAGACTCCCCTCACCGTAACTAGTTATTCCTGGTTAAGGCTCCTTCGTTAGAGCCAACTAATCATCCTCAGCTGAGGTTCTCAATAACCAGTCCTATGTGTAGACTTCTCACTCTCTCTCAGCCCACAGCCCTTAACAGTACTTCATCAACTATAGCATCTTCCTCAGGCACTTTCAGTAGCCTCCTACCACCCCTTCAACCACTTCCATGCCTCACAGATTAAAACAGTAACATAACCAAGATAGCAGCTGAGTGAATTTGTGGGTTTTCTCCCCAGAGCCTATAAAAACTCCTCATAACCACCAGCCCAAGACCCAGCTTTATATGGCCCTTTACTCCTCCCCCTTCCAATCACCTGACCTTGGATCTTCTCAAAAGGCTGCAGGTGTTTTCCACTGGCCTCCTCAGCAGGCCATTACCTAATTAGTTGCTAGCTGTTTCTAGCTCTAACTCTACTGCCTATCCTACTCTCAGTAACAGCAAATGAACTGCTGTTGCTTTAAAGGAAAACAGGGAGCCTTACTCAGTGCTTTCAAAGAACAGCAGTAAGTGCTTAATCCTCAGGGGTCTGTAACGAGAGACATACCTGTTTGCAATTCAGAGGTAGGTGCTTAAGTGCAAGAAAGGGCCAGGGTTTCAGGGACATGTTTGGTGGAATGATGTTTCCCTTTGTGTCTAAGTGGCAATTTTCAAAGGAGGATCCTGGAAATCAAAAATCAGCAGTGGCAGGACAAATCCTAGGAGATCCAGCTCTATGCTGACAAACATGACATGCATAGTTCTTCCTAGGCAACGAGCATCTACAGCCCAATTTCCCAAAGTCCTACTTTTCTGCAATTAGAGGATTGCTCGATGCTCCTCAAAGACAATAAATCTATCCAAGCTAGATGGAAAACGCTCTTTGAGGCACTCCTGAACCATGAATCGACTGGTACAAGCTACTAGGCTTGAGCGAAGTGGCTAGTATTCACTTCGGCTTAGGACAATTCAGGGGACAGTGATTTGATTCGGCGATTCAAATCACTGTCCTGAATCAAATTTGCCTGAATCTCTAAATCACACAGACCCCATCCCCCACCCACTCTCCTACCTGGGCAATGGCTGCCCTGCCCACCTCAGCTCTTTGGGGGAAAGAAGAGCCACTCCCCAGGTGCTGCTGGGCAGGGGGAGCAGTCCCTGCTGCCACCCACTGTGTGGGGGTTCTGCACAAGCCCCTGCCCCCCCTCACTGTCCTAGTCTCCTCCCATGACTGGACTGCCCTGCCCTGCCCCCCCCCCAGCTCCAGCCCTTTAAGGAAAAAAAAAAACAACCCCAAAACCTCAAACTCACCAGCTCCTGCCCAGCAGGGGAATGATTCCCACTGCCCCGCACTGCCCCATGCTACATGGGGGGGGGGGGCTCCTCAATGAGCCCCCAAAAGCCCCAAGGTTGCTGCTGGAGCTGGGCAGTCTGGGGGTTTTTTCAGTTTTTTTTTTCTTGAAGGGCTGGAGCTGGGGTGGGGGGGCTTTGGGAGCTTGTGGCAGAGCCCCCCCCCCATGCACTGTGGGGCAGTGGGGGGCATCTCCTCCAGCCCCCCTCTGCCCTGCCCCCTACTTACAAGCTCCCTGCTGCAGTGGACGCGGACTACCCGAATCAAAGCTGTCTGAACCTTTTCAGAAGATTTGGAGAGCTTTGAATCAATTCAGACCTTTTTATTGGTTCCCCGATTCGATTTGGAGATTCAACCACCGAATTGGGCCGAATCTCCTCCAAATCGAATCAGCACCCAAAGCTTTGCACAGCCCTACAAGCCGAGTCTATTCCCCAGCCTCCTGAAAAGGGACCCCTCACCAGCCCTCTTATCCTTGAAGACTGGCATGCCATCCAGGAAACCAAGAACAACAAGGTTACTACAACAATAACACCGGATGGCCTACCTGCTGAAAGCAAGAAACTGGTACTAAGACTCCACAAAATTTATTCTTCGAATTTGGAACAGTGAAGACATCCATGAGGACCAAAATGCCAACATCATGACTATCTTGAAGAAAGTAGATAAGTCTGTGTGTAGGAACTATTGAGGTATTGCCCTCCTTTCCATAGCAGGGAAAATCCTTACTTGCATCGTCCTGAACCATCTTCTACCTCTTACTGTGGAAGTCCTGCCAGAATCTCAGTTTGGTTTCAGACCATCCCAGGGGGCAATTCTTTGTTGTCTGCCAGGTCTAAGCCTTGTGGAAAGTACTCACCAGATTTGGATGTCCTGAAAAGTACATCAAGGTCCTGAGATTTCTCCACAACCAGACGACTGCAACCATTCTTTGTAGCAGATCAGAGACAGATCAATTTGTCATCCAAACAAGGATGCCTTATCAGCCCAACTCTGTTATCCATTTTTTTTTGACAGTCATCTTGGTCCTCATTAAGGGTCTTCTGGAATTGACATTGAATACCAAATGGATGGTGGGCTCTTCATTCTGGGATGTTTTTGCTCGATGACCAAAGTACTCAAAATAACCATCCCTGACCTTCAATATGCTGACAGCTGCACCATCCTTGAACACACTGAGGAAAACCCCCAGACTGCACTGGATCCCTTCACACAAGCCTACTGAACTTTAGTCTTCTCAATGTTAAGGGAGAGCCCTAAAGTTCTCTATCAGCCTGCTCCAGGCTATGAATGTGACCCCCCTCCTCCCCAAATTACCAATGAGGAAAGACCCTGGAGGTAGTTGAGCACTTTGCCTACTACATAGGTAGTCTCGTCTCAGAACGTAAACACTGATGAAGAAATCCAAGACAGATTCTGGTGTGCAAGTGCATCCTTTGAGAAATGGCTTCATTTTTCTCTATTGATTGTGATCTCTGGAAAAACACCAAGATCTAGGTCTACAATGCAGACACCACTCTCCTCTACAGATGTGAAACATGGGTGACCTACTGTCATCATCTCAAGAGCCTGTACAGGTATCACCAACAATGCTTCTGGAAAATCCTCCATGTCAAATGGAAAGATTGCTGCACAAACACCAGCATCCTTGCTGAAGCCAATGTTACCAGCACTGAGTTAGTGATCATCAAGCAGCAACTTCACTGGACTAGACATTGTGCATAGATTACCAACTCCTGACTATTAAAACAAGTGCTCTACTCCCAGTTTTCCTGTCATGCCCAGAGGTAGTGATATAAGGACACATTGAAGGCATACCTCAAGAAAACAGCTACCGACATCAAGAGCTGGAAGGAGCTGGCTGCTAACTGCATCTACTGGCACTGCAACCTCAACCAAATGGTAGCCCATTTTCAGGTAGTGTCTTCCCCTTGAAGCAGAGAAGAGAAAATGGAGGAAGGAAAAGGAGAGGAATCCCAGACTACTCTCCTCTGTGGAAAGACCTGCAACTTCTGGAGATGAGTCTGTGGCTCAAGGATTGGACTCTTAAGTCATCTCAAGACTCATCAGTGAGCCATGGTAGAGATCATCCTCAAATAGAGGGACTGCCTACAACAACCAAGTGGGGTTTTTGAGACTTAAACATAAGTGGTAATTTAATTCCTTCTGCAGCATGGATGTGTAATGGTGCACACCTAGGCTGAGCATATATACAGTAGGCTACCAGATGGACAGAAATGCTATGACTGTTCTGCTTTCTATCCAACAGATATTAAATCATAGACTGAGTTTCCGGGTACAGAAGTGTGTGCGCATTGTGATTCTTTTGGATTGTGTTGCTGTTGTTTATTTGGAGGAAAATATTCATTAAAAGGCCCGCTGAGGCCACCTGGAAAACACAGAACAACATTTGGCTAGAGACAGATCTGCCTGGTATAATCTGTTCTGTTTTTCATCCCTCCCATGTTCACTACAAGAGGTGCTGGCTTGAGCACAGAGCATTGTTGAGGTTTTCTTGCCATATCCCACTGTTTATAACTCACCTGAAGTCATGATAATCCCTTGGTCATGGCATTTCAATTGGTCATGGTGGGAAAAATCCACAAAAAATGAGAAGCCTCCTGTGGGGAGAAAGCAGCAGGAACAGATCAACTCCCTTTAAAAATAAAAATCAACTTCCTGTGCTAGTGCCTAGTGATAAAAGTTGGGAGGAAACATTCCCTTTGCCTTCACAGAGAATGCTGGCTTGTAATACACGCTGTATTATAAAGCAGATGCTGTCTTTGGTTGTGCCTATAAGCAAAATGTCAGACATTTTCACAGAGTTTCCTCTAATCTGCATGGTTGTTTTGCGGTTAAGTCATGAGACTATAGCCCAGTGAGACCTGCATCCAAGTCCCAGCTTGGTTACAAACTTACTGTGCATTCCTCAGCAAGTCACTTAATCTATCTGTTATCTTTCAATTATTCCCCATCTGTGAAATGGGGATAATGCTCCTCACAGGGATGCTTTGTGACAATGAACTCATGATTTGTGAGGTGCCAGGATACCAAAGAGATAGCGGCTTATATGGGAGGCAGGTTCTGTCTGTAGTATCTCCTGAAATACTAAGGAGTTAACAGGGTCTTTACATGCAGCCTAAATCCCAATTTCTACCCCCATCCCCCTTCCTGGAGACTGGCTTTACTGATATCTCCAGACACAGAATCCAATCTCCATCCTCAGCTATCTCCCCCACCTTAGTAGTTCCTCAGGCTGTTCTCTTCAGGATCCACCCAGCCCTTAATTTTCCCTCACTTTAAGAGGTATCTTCTAACTTCTTTTCTGCTCCTAATTGGAGACACTTGCTATAACCTCAAAATGACCCATTCATTTACACTGCACCTTCATGCAGGGGTCAGGCACTTGGTAGTAGAATGACTGTGTGCCGCTGCAGAGAGCTAGAGCAGACAAGCCTGTTATGCTGGATTGTATGCAATATGCAGCTCATACTTCTATGTGCAAGGATATGGATTGCCTGGAGCTTTGTAAGTGCTCTTGCATGGCCTGCAAGAAGAATTTTCTTCTCTTCCTAACCCCAAAATGCATCTGATTACTTATTTTGGCAGTAGAAAGATCTCTACAACAAGTATAATTCTCACAAGGAAATCTGGCCATCATTCACACTATAGGGTGATCCCTACTGCTGTTTCATTCAACCACCTACAGTGTGTGAAATACAAAAAAATGCCTTGGTTTCACAAGGATTTTAATTCACATAAATTAACTCAAGGTAAAAACTCACCTTTTTTTCCCCCTAGATAAGATACAGGCAGAGCATTGAGCTATTCTGATAATGTGTCCCTTTCATGTAGAGCTTAAACACAGGGATTGACTCACTTGATTGAAATTACACTGCCTGATTATTTTCACCTACACAGTACCTTAACCCAGGATTATCTTTCTTAGTGCAAGTCATTAGGGCGGTGTAAAGCTTCAGGTGGTGATTCAATTCGGAGGAGATTTGGCGGCCAAATCTCTGAATCCGAATCAAATCAGGGGACCAATTAAAAGGTCTGAATAGACTCGAAGCTCTCTGAATCTTCGGAAAAGATTCAGACAGTCACCGGTGGCTGCAGCAGGGAGCTACGGCCAGACTTAGAACTGGTAAGTAGGGGCGGGGAAGGGGGGGCTG